TTCTTTCTGGTTTCTAAAAAAGAATTAAAACAACCTCAATCAATTAATAGTTTTTCAGTGTACACTGTATTTGCCGGATATCGGTGAATAAAAACCGTACAGACACTTAATTTGATAGTTTTATACTCCTCTTATAGACTAGTGATTGACCGAGTACTATCTGGCATAACGTCTAACCTGTCTGATCGCAGTTTGCTAAAATTAATACTCTCTGGTTCTTGAAGAGAAGCCCAAAACTTTTACAGTGGAGTGAATATACAGGTCTACTAAATTAAACATTATTAGGCCGGCTGAAAATCTTACACGTTATTTAACAAAGTATGAGATGCGACTTGTGAGGGGCTGGTCATTTTTTACCTGTGAGGAAGGGCAGGCGGGCCATTTTGCTGGGGCCTCATTTTGAAAATCGTAATTGGTTTTAATTCAGGGGTCATTTTCTGATCTGAGGGTCATTTTAATCAATTTCACATAAGTCAGTTAAAGCACTAACGAGTGTAAATTGGAATTCAATGTCACAGCCGTAAATAGTAAACACCGATCTTAAAAACACGGCTTTAGATAAAGTATGTGGTGAACTTCAGCACGATTTGCCGCTAGAATATATTTCGCAATAAGTAAACTAACTTGAGGGCGTCATTTCTAAAATGCTAGGATGAATTGAGCGGTAGGTTCGAAAAATCTTCTACTCTTTCTCAAAATGGCCGTTTCCCCCTTATGGGTAATAAACGACTAGCCACTGAGTTCTAAATCTTTTCTTTTATTCAGTTCAGCCATAAAAATATAAGGGTTTCGTGATCAGATTCACTTTCTCTTACATGAATGCTTTTTTTACATCTATAATCAATTGTTGAAATTGAGTTGGATGCGGTTGACTCAAAAACGGCGTTTATTTATCAAGCTTTACTTGATACCTGCCAACAGGGGGTTATGATTCACTTCTACCAATTTTATTTCTTTAGGGCGTTTATGTTTAATTAAAGGATAATTCGAGTTGAATCTACTTCCGAAAAGATAGACAAGAAAAACATAAAACTTTACCACCACAGAGTTGTGAAATAACTTTGGTGCCAAACGTCAAAGCGGCTGTACCGAAAACTAATTATAATGACGCTTAAAGCTTTTGCAGGTTGTGAAAACAAAACCATAATATCCGTCAAAATCTCACCTACTTTTTTGCATCATTTTTAGTCTAAGTTTAGAAACGATTCACCTTTCACTGATAAAAAGATTTCAAAATATTAACCGTACATCGGCAAAAGGCCGGAATCGAGACAGTTTCTCCTTGGCTTTCGCCGGCCAGACCTTATGATTCGGATCTTCCAGTGGAAACAGTAATCTACGTACTGACGTGGAAGTAGTTTCTCTTACATTTTAGAACTTAATAGTTATTGGCAAACTTTACGTACTAGGTATTTCACTCGTTGCCGCGACTCATTTTCCATTGCAGCACTTAATCCAATGTCCAAATGCACCTTCTCTTCCCAACGATCAAGGATATCCTTTAATGAGAATGTTCGGCCTTACAAATGTACTGAAGATCGAGTCAAACACTCTCCCAACCCAACCTATTTACTTTTTAAACCGTTTTTCATAACGTTAACGTACTTGAAGTATATACTCGTCTTACCATCACGGTATACATCATTCAGTTTTTCATCTGAACTTTTTTCTTTCAAATCCGTGGTAAGCCTCGATGTTGCTTTACTGCTTTCAATTTTCACTGTTTCTGTGTTCTCATCCAAAGCTGCGCTGAGAGCTGGACAACAGCTAAGGCACTGAAGTAGGACTACCAAAATCAATACAAAATGCTTGAACATGATGAATGCCTTTCACAAGTGCCTTAATACCCAAATGCTTGATCGCAGGCGGTATAAATGTGCTCTCTCTCGCCGAAATTAGCCAGTCATATTCAAAACAATTTAATTTACAAAAATGGCATCACCATATTCTTTATTTCAATCAGCTGTCATTGAATGGCCACGTTTGTTTTCAAAGTTAAAAAACAAATAAACTACAGCTACCAGAGTCCTTCAGTCTATTGTTTTCTTGTGCAAATCACAGGATAGAATATTACTTATTTCGCAGCACGACAACTGAATTCAATTATATGTTAGAACTTCCTACATTTTAACAGGTGTAGGAAGCTTAATTCACGTACTTGCGACGCAGTATGCGATGGGGGGATGGGGGGCGGGGAGGGAGGCGGGGGTAGTTACCTGGAATACCCTAAATCGATCTTGACAAAAAATGGCGAAGGTTACTACGGCCCTTACCAGAACACTTTAGGATTGTTTGTGCACACTAGCTCACACTGTAGCCATTGGTAGTTTGTCGAATGTTGACAAGAAATGGGAAATCAAAATACAATTAATCTCTGGCATTTGCAGTAAAAAGCCACCTTTGTGACTGATGAAACATTGTTCAGTGTTCAGGCAGAAAAGCAAACACGGCAACTCTTGAAAGCTTAACATGTGTGACAACTGTTAATATTTTCTAATTCAGAGGCAGTTTTGTAGTTTTTTAATTGCTCTTGGCTGATTTCATTAGATACCAAATAGGTAAGAATAGGGCTAGTGTTATCAAAAGATGAAGAACTTTTACAACTCACGACAGTTAAAATCGTCGTTTTTGTCTTAATATAAATTTTTACTGGAGGGAACTTTATAATTTATTCGCAGTACCACAACTGAATTGAAATGTTAAAACTTGCTATATTTTAACAAGTGAAGGAAGCGTAACTCACGTACCACACAACATGCGATCTTTGGGGGCGGAGGGAAGGGGAGCTAGCTAACCTGCGAGAAGGGTGTTCGTTTTTTTTCGGAGAAGAGCGACGGGCAAAAAAAAAAGAAAATGGAAACGAAGAAAAAGGGAAGAAGGACCACCTGATCGCAGGTTAGGAGCTACCCGTATTCACGTACCTGTTAGCAGTTTTGACAACATGATTGGCGGACTAAATGTTTAGACTAGTGTAGCCGGCAAAAGACAAAAAATTAGGAGCAATAAAGGATCCAACATAAACATATATTCGGTTCAGAAGCGTCAACTGATTGATCGAATTGAAGTATATACCCAGGTTAGCTTATTAAAATGTAGATTTTCATCTTTTGTTTATCCTCTCTTGAATCACTTCTATTTCTCTGAAAACCTTGAGGAAGCAATTTATTTTAAAACGAAGAGTCAGACAAGAAAAACTTATACTAAAACTGTTGCGAAATGGCCTTGGTTCTAAGGCAACAGTAAACGGCTATACCATAGGTTAAGTGCACTGAAAATGTCTCTAAAATTTGTATAAATAATTTTATATCAGTTTTAATGGCTGTAATCCAAGCTTAGGAAACGATACAACTATCAGGGACTTGTGATTGCTAAATATGCTGACTAAGCTGATCTATTTTGCTTTGTTGAAGTATTAGTAGGTTTTCTTTCTTTTGGAACTGAAGTTAAAATTCCTTCTGCTTCTAGACCCTACAGCTTTCAAATCTGTGGAAGAAATTCTGTGGTGTTACCATCCAAATAAAACCTCTTTGTCAGAAGTGAGTTCTGTATACAGGGTGTTTCAAAAGTTCGTTCCGTTTTCTTCGCTTAAATTTCACTGATTATTAAAAGACAGTTTTTAAAACTTAAACTTCTTCTCTAAAGAAATCATTTTGGCGGTGACCCAGAGTATGCATGAGTACTGTATTCGACTAAATATCTGGTGTAGGCATACAGTCACATATTATGTGAATGTTTATATATGTCGAATGGGTCATCAGTGTTATTTGGTCAGATATTCTTTGTCGTTCTCCAAAGTGAAACAGTCACATTTATGTGAATCTCTGATTACCGACAGAATCTCGGACATTTTCTGTTTATGAGAGTTAATTACTTTAAGATTTTTAGACATAATACAGAGATGGTCATGTAAGAGGGGGTGACGCGTTAGGGTACCTGTTTCGCAGGAGCCCGTGAAAATTTACTATTATTTAAGAGTCTTTTTATCACGGCAGGACACACACCACTATGATCGCTGTACGACTGAAAAACCGTTTACGTAGATGATCAGGACCATTCGAATCCACTCCTTGGAAATAAGAAAACATTATTTGTTGTTATCGATACAAATAGTTTGTAGAAAAATGAAGGATTCAGAGGGGTTGGAGAACTGTACGTTTTGTTTTTAGAGTTATGCTCAGTCGTAGTTCATACACGCGCCACTATAATGCTGATTGAACGTGATCCTCTCACATCAACAGTAGTCGACCTCAAAAGAGCTATTGGTGACACGTGACATGAGGCCATTCGTGACACGTGACTTGACATTTTGACATTTCGATTGACATTTTGACATGTGTGAACAAGTCATCCGCTTTGAGTCTGATGATATGACTTCCGCAAGCGCTGTCAAACTAGGTCAGTTATTGTCAAAAACTAAAAGACCTCCTATTTATTAGCTGGCTTATGAGAACGGGAGGAAGAAAATTTGTCATTTTCGTCATCTCTACGTACCTATTTCTTGAGGGTGTTTTTGCTCATTGAAAAAAGAAATTGGGCTTTCGACTGCTGGAAAAAAAAAAAAAAGCTTAGAGGGTACTCTTTCTTTTTCAAATTGAGTGTTAAATATCAAACAAAAATGTCATGGTTATTGTTTTATTTTCAAGCAGTCATTGTATTACATTTGCATAAAAATTATTTTATTTTGTCTTTGTTCACAATACTTATCATCGCGATCGGTCACGCTTGATAAATCCCGAGCTTGTAGGACAATTGCAAGATGACGATATTTGACTACAACTACCAGAATTCATTTCGGTTTTGCTTTGTTATTTAAATTTGTCAATACCTGACTCCTAATTTCTTGTTATCGGAATTAAACGTGTTCTTTTGTTGTTTGAGTTCCTAAGACCATCAACATCATTTTACTGCAGTAGCACGTTAACAGGATTTCTAACATTCTAATCGCTACACCCCACTAGTTCAGGCTTTTATCTTGTGCCGCAATGAGGTTTTCTTACCGACTATGCCAGCTTCTTACAGACAAATCCACAAGGATATCCTGAAACAATCCCACAGACGCGGTCATTCCAGTAACCAGAAGCATGGTAAGGCAGGTGGGTTCGCCGAATCCACATGTTGCTGCATGGCTCCCTGGACTTTCCATTCGGTTCACCCGGAGCCCAGAACGTGTAGGATGGAACTGAGTTGTCAGACCAAATGAAATTGTTGACGCTTGGATTCCACTTGAGTCCGATCCAAATTTGTTTCAGCGATGGCGCACGGCTGTGAACCAGCTTCAGTACAAACTCGTTTTCATTAAAGCTGTTGATCTTCACCAGTTCTCCTCCCCACCTTTTGCAGTACGATTGGGCCTGGTGCCAAGTCGTGATGTGGCTGCTCACGATGTAACAATAGCTTTTGAACTGCTTCCAACTTCCAGGGCAATGACCTAGAAATAAACAAGAAATGATTCGACTTCTCTCCTTACAGTGAGGAACACAAGACTAGAAAAACGTTAGACTCGATTTCCTACACGGTTGTGAAATGGCTACAACGAAAGTACATTGGAATCGAGCTGGAAGCTTTGCTACTTTTTTAGCGGGGCTCCCCCACGCGCGCGAAGCGCGCGTGGGACAGAGCCCCATACTCATGGAATATGGTCAACCTCTTTTCGTTTGGCTGTCGCGTGATTGACCGAGCGTACGTACGCGTCTACAGATTGTACGGGTGGGGTAGGGGAGACTATCAAAAGGAAGGGAGGGGTGTATCAGACGTGTCTTGGCAAGTCCACATCTTTAATATAGGACATTAACAATATGGTCAATTGACAGCTGTCAAAACAGGATAGCCACTGACCAGTATCCCATGACCATATTGCGGGCTCATGTGTCATCTCATCGAGGTAACGTGATTTATTTGGAAGCTGTCCGCTGACCAGTTAATTGTTTTACTACTAATCGCAAACAACGTTCGTACTTTTACTAGTTTGGAAGCACAGGAAAACTGATAATGAATGCACACCCTTTTTGGACATCAATGTTTTGATCAATTGGCAGCTGTCAAAACAGGGTACCCGCTGACCAGTATCACTTGACCGTATCGCGGGCTCAGGTGTCGACCCATCGAGGTCAAGTATTTTTTGAAGTTATCCGCTGACAAGTAAACTAGTTTTCAAGTGATCGCAGGCTCAACTGCAATTTTTTTCTAAATTCATATGAAATATGTTGTGTTTATGTGCTGCACAATTAAAAATTTTGATTGCAAACTGACCTCGGACGCGAAAATTCAGCCAGCTGTTATAGGCAGGGAAGACAGTTGCTTTTGACTTTTCCCACCATGGTCACGCGTTGGTCACGCTCTACGTCCGATTTTTATTTGGTCAAAATTTGACAGGTGAGTTCATGCGGAAAATTTATGCAGCACCTTGAATCTTGTTTACTTTGACAGCTGAAGCTGACAGGAGTTTTGTGTCAACTTGTGATGTTTTTAACTGTCTTTTTCCACTGGATGTACAAAATGAAATTCAGCTGCTATTTGGAGTCTTCTGTTATTCATGGCTAGTTTGTTTATTGGGTTTTTGGTTGAGAAATACGTCGCTTGTCAAAGTCGGAAATCCGATTTCGGATGGCATCGTTTTCGTTTTCACCTTGCTTGATGCGTAAGAGGATTGCAAAGTCTGAAGCGATACTGGCTTTTCTTGATACCTTTCAGGAGCTGCATCTCGAATGGTAAGCCAGAGAAATTATTGTATTTGATGTTTGTTTTTTTGGATCTAATTTAATGAAGTCGAGCGGAGTTTATGCGGTCATTTAGTTTATGCACGTTTGTAAGATTTGAGACAATGATCTGACCGAGTATCAGGTTTGATATAAGCTTACAGAACTTTAAAAAGCCTTTAGACAGTTTCTCACCGCAAATAGAAAGAAAACGTTCCAAAGAATATTTAGTTATAATTCTGGCCGGAAAAGAAAGCTTTGAGCGATTTTCTTGCCTCGAGTTCGTCTTTGAAAAAAGCAAACACCGGGAAGCCGGCTTAAAACATAAACTTAAGCTTGAAGCTTGAAGACTCAGGATTTTTAGGGATACTTTAATACTTGTCTTCCTGAATGAAAATTGTTGTTTCTGTATATGTTTCACCGAATTATATTTCTTTTATTGATTGTTAGTAGTCTCTCTTGTAATTTTAATCGCTGTGCCGATTGTTTTCAGTCGTTCAGTGAACATCGCTTGCAGGAGTACTCAAAATGCCGCGCGTTAATAAACCATTAAATAAAAAATAAACAGAATAAATTCTTTATAATGTTGGAGCGTAACTCTGTTAATGTTCATTCAAACACTCGCCACAGCTCGCACTACAAAAGTGAGAACCGGATGGCCGTATAGGTGATTTTGGAAATTTTTTTAACAGTTTATGAATATTGAATGAGTGCAATTTGTATTGTGAAATACTGCTTTCTGTCCGAGGTCTGCCGGTATGATAAAAACAGTGCCTCATACTACTGTTTCACCTCAGATGTGATGTATAAATGGTATAAAAGGTTGGTTTACACGCACCCAGATTTGTTGACAAGATTTTGCAAAGTAAACTTGTCGAACGCAAAAAAGTTGGCCTGATTTTTTTTTCCAGGCCTGATTAATCTACGGTGATCAATAGCCATTATGGCTCTTAAATGTGATCGAAGATGATTACCAGTTTTTGGGTGTACATATGAGGCTATCAACTCGATGTAAGATTTGGTTCACTCTTGGGCTGTTTGCAAATTATTTTTCTCTAAAATCAGGTAGCCTTTCCCTCAAAAGTCACATAAATGTGCTCTAAAGTTAACTGAACTGTGGAATTCGAATACAAGTTTATTGTTTAATTTAAATTATAAATTTACTAATGGGAGCCTCGTTTTTAGCCCTGGCTAAATCTATATATTATATCTTGGTGGTGACAAAAAGATGAAGACTTTAAAATCAGTTCACGTTTTAGCCTAGTTTTGTATCGATTTCAATCGCTGTAATCCCATTATATTACAGAAGAAAATTCACTTTAAATTGACCACTTGTATCATATCCACTTGGTTTCCTCGAGTTCCGGGAGCTGACGGCTGATTTCGTAGCTAGCGGTACTCTTCCTCTAGCTAGTTTAAAACTTCGGGTAATAGCTACTGCTAAACAAAAGTTAGGCAGTTTCGCTCGCCACTGCGACGTATTTTTTAGGCCAGAATCTAATCCGCTGGAAAACGTGGATCAAGATTTTCCTTTTGTGAGCAGTCTTCTATCACTATTCATCCGACTTTTTTAAAACGCTGTCAATCCGGATTACCTGAAACGGAGAGCATCAAAAGAAACATTGGCAGAACAGAAAACAGTTTCATTGCGGTCTTTCTGGAGTTTCTTTGTCTCTGAAACTTGAGGCTGTGTATCGTAATCTTGCACTGTCTCACTGACGGGATAGGTCAAGGAAAACTGAATATAAATTGTGACTAGTGTGAGTCGGAAGAGCCTAGAACACAGCAAACGAAACAATTCAAAACAAGTCTTTTGCGGAAGTAAACATTGTTCCACTGGTTGGATGCAAGTAGCTCGCAAATGTTTTGATTTTACTAAATGTACATCTTAATCAACGATTCTGTCGGAGATTCTGTGCCACTATTCTAGTATGAGTGCATGACTTGTGAGATTCATTTTGTCCGTTGAAGATACTTCACTTCGCTTTTTACATGCTTCTCTAGTTATCTTCATTTTTGCAGCAGGTCTCTCATGATTTTAACAACTTCATGAAAAAAAAAAATCCTTTGTATTGCCCCTTCAAGATTATGATGCGCGCTTTTCTAAAGTTTTACCCAGAAAAGGAAAATATCATATTCGCAAGGTTTTTCCTAGTCATAGGGAATTTCAACGCTTTAGAGTTTAGGGCTTGATTAAAACAACTCGGCCCATGCAGCGTTTCATTTGTCTCTTCGGCAGCCTTTTTGCCACAGTTGTCAATGATTAGTAGAGAGTCTTCCTGCGATATTTTTCAAAACTTTACATCACTTCCCGTGCATGGGTGGATTAAGGGCTATCCCGAGGAGTCTGCCTCAATCCTTTTTCTTTCTGTGCAATAAGTCGTGTTTTGTGGAAAAATTTTTAGTCAATAAATATATGGTATCGACGTAGCATTGCATTGATGCTTTTTAGTTTGATCTTCAACGGAAAGTCGCCGACGCTCAATCATTCTTCTGATCGACCATATAGTCATTTACGTCTTACTGAGTCACCCTAAAAGTATGAATTAGTCGATTGACAGTTAGATTAAAACCCTTGTCGTGTATGCTGTAAATGGTGATATCGCCGAATATGAAAACCGTACAGACACTTAATTTGATAGATATACTCCTCTTACGGACTGTACGTGTGCATGCACTTTCTTTTAGTGATTGTTTTAACCGAGTACTATATGGCATAACGACTAACCTGCCTGATCGCTGGTTACTAAGATTATTCTTACTGGTCATTCCGGCTGTGAAATCTCATAAACGCTAGGCCGAGTTGTTTTCAAATCAGAGTCGATTCATACGTTAAATGCCGCCAATTAAAAAAGACGTCGCAAGAAAAATTTTAGCATATTTGATTCAATGCTGAGATTCGTAAATTTGATGACGCTGCCGGATTATTCAGTTGATCGACGATCAGTACGCGCAAATATTTCAAAAGACTGGCCCCGGTGTATTCAGTCGTGGTTACATACAGAGTGAATATAAGGAAACCTTAAAGACAATTGATTTTTAGTGGTAAGGTGACTGAATCGATAAAATTTTTTATGGGGACTTTTCTTCTTTTATCTTCAACGATTTTCAAAGCTTTGATTTGCGTAAAGTTCTGAACAGAAACTCATTTTAGACGATTAATTTAGTTTACAAAATCATCAAGTTCCCAAAATATGACTGCTGCGGTGTCTTTCATATCTTTTACATGTTGGCAAAAAATGTAGTTGTCATCTTGGATTTGATTGTAGTTGCGACTTATTACAATACAAGCATTCTATTGATTAGTGAAATTCTGCTAGTAATCATTCAAGAAATAAAACCTCTTTGACAGAACGTCTGCATAGTGCTATTTATCTCTTAGGATTTTACCAAAAGAAATTTCAATTTTTAAAATATTTTTCTGTGAATTAACTGTTTGGCCACTGTACGGTGAAGGAGTTAATTGTTGGTAACCAATGAAAACTGGGAATACTACTTTTGCTCGTTGTCGTCTTCGTTGACAACCCAATTACGCGTCAGTGCAGTCAACGCAGATCACCCCCCTTCGCGCAATGTTAAGTGGCAGAACAGAAAACACTTTCATCGCAGTTTTATGGGTTATTTCAGTATTTCCGGTGTGTATCGTAATCTCGTGCAGTGCCAATGAATTGAGGCGTCAGGCTTAAGCTGTAAATTAAGGACCGTGATGACGCGAGTGTAGACAACACAGTAAACGAGAAGAAACAAGTCTCGTATGAAAGTAAACATTAATCAGGCCGTCTGAACAACTTTCATTTTTCTACAGGATATGATAAGACTTTTGATCAAGGCATCTCAGTGCTACCATTCCGGCCGGCCATAAAAAAGGGTCTAGTGAGATTTATTTTCTCTTAGATGAGTTTTTTTTATTATTATTTATACACAACTGTAAAAATTGAAAACTTCTCGGACCATACGCTTCTGTGAGCACATTGCAAAATATTCATATTTTTTGCGCCGTCATGCATTTGAATTTTCGCTCCTTCTCGGCAGGTGAGGGCTCTGTCCCGAGGGCAAATCCAAAAACATGTTTTCAGTCAAAAATGTACTTCTTTCTAATAAAAAAGCGTTTATACCAAAATTATTCCTCTTATATTACACTGAAGTATTCTACAAGTGCAAAGAAACACTTGACCATCACCGTTGTCTTACGGTCGTTTAGGTTTCGCAGTTATATTTACCAGTAACTGTTACAAGTGGTTGATTTTGTAAATGTTATTTAGTTACTTTTAAGCTTCATTTACTTACTTAATATTTATATTTAGTATATACTAAAACAGTGGATAGTGTTTTTCACGCGCTATGATCGGCTACTCAATCAGTGAATATCCAGTGCAGTTCACTGATTCACCACCAGTTCCTCCGAACGAGCGACGCCAAATTCGCGAAATAGCTTCTTCCCGGTTTGCTGCAGTAACAAACACAGAAATTTCTGAAATTTCACAAATTTTCAAGCAAGCTGTTCCCGAAATTGACTTGACTTTATCGATGAAACTGGTAGAAAAGATTTTCGTTTACAAATGCATATTAAGTCTTGCGTTACTTCATTTAGCTGATATGTTCACAAATAAGCTTAAAACTAGATTAATAGCGGAGCTCCTCGCGTGCGCGAAGCGCGCGCGTGGGCGGAGCCCCATAGCTAAGGAAATCTACCCATCCCAGAAAATTTGGTAATCACGTGACCGACCGACCGACCGTCCGTCCGCACCACAGGCATACCAATGTTTACTCTCACACTTTCTATTGTAGCTACTTTGGGAGCCCAGGAGAAAGCTGATTGCAGATCAATGTTGTCATCAATTGACAGCTGTCAAAGCAGGGTATCCGCTGACCACTATCACCTGACCGTATCGCGGGCTCAGGTGTCGACCCATTTCAATGATCGTAGGCTCACGTTTATTTCTGTTTTAAATTCACAACAAATATGTTGTGTTTATGTCAGTATCGCCCCGCACTATTACGATTTTGATTTCAAACTGACCTCAGACGCAAAAATTCAGCCAGTTTTTTTAAAATACAGGCGGGGAAGACCTTTTCTTACCATGGTCACGTGTTGGTCACGCTCCACGTCCAATTTTTATGCTCTGATTGGTTAAAATTTGACAGGTGAGTTCATGCGTAAAATTTATGCAGCATCTTGAAAGTTGTTTACTTTGACAGCTGAAGCTGACAGAGTTTTGAGTCAACTTGTGATGTTTTTAACTGTCTTTTTCCACTGGATGTACAAAATGAAATACAGCTGCTATCAAGAGTGTTCTCTTATTCATGGCTGGTTTGTTTATTGGGTTTTTGGTTGAAAAATGCGTCGCTTGTCAAAGCCGATAATCCGATTTCGGATGGCATCGTTTTTGTTTTTCACCTTGCTGGATGCGTACGAGAATTATAAAGGCTCAAGCGATCCTTGCCTTACTTGATAGCTTTCAGGAGCTGCATCTCGAAATATGGTAAGCCTGAGTAATTATTGTATTTAAATCTAATTTCATGAAGTCCAGCGGCGCAGTTTATGAAGCTAGTTTATGCACGTTTGTATTAAGATTTGACTGAGACACTGATCTGACCTCGTATGAGGTTTGATATAAGCTTAAGCTTACAGAACTTTAAAAAGCCTTTAGTCGATATTAATTCACCGTAAATAGAAAGAAAAAACTTTCCGAAGAATATTTAGTTATAATTTTGGCTGTAGAAAGAAAGCTTTGAACGATTTTCTTGTCGTGAGTTCATCTTTGAAAACAGCCGACACCGGGAAACCGGCGGCTTAAAACATAAACTTTAAGCTTACTAGTAAAGACTTGAGGATTCTTAGACACACTTAAATACTCATTTGTTTTCGTGAATGAAAATTGTTGTCTCTGTAAATGTTCTATCGAATTATTTTTCTTTATTGATATTTGGTAGTCTCAAAAGTGTAATTTTCATCGCTTTGTCGTTTGTTTTCAGCCGTTCATAAACATCGCTTGCAGGAGTACTCAAAATGCCAAGCGTATCAAACGCTTTTTATAAGATTACACATCGTTATAAAACCGTTAATAAAAAATAGACTCGATGAATTCTTTATCACGTTGAAGCGTAACTCTTTTGAAATTTCTTCGCAAATTTGGCGCTTGTCAAAAGTTACAACCGGCTGGCCGTATAGGTGATTTTGGAAATTTTTTGAACGGTTTCGCTAATTAAAAGTCCACGCGTGCTTCGATGGTCCTGAATTTTGAATGAATGCAATTTCTCTTGCAAAATTGTGAAATACTGCATTTTGTACGAGGTCTGCATGGTAAAAACAGCGCCTCATAGTACTCTTTCTCCTCAGATGTGGTGTATAAAAAAAATAAAAGATTGGTTTGCACGCACCCAGATTTATTGGCAAGAATTTGTAAACTTGTCGAACGCAAAAAATTAGGTCTGATTTGTTTTCCAAGAATTTGTTTTCCACGACTTATCTACTGTGATCAAGAGCCATCATTGCTCTTAAATGTGACCGAAGACTAATTTTTGGGTGTACATATAAGGCTATATCAACTCGATACAAAATTTGTTTTACTCCAAAATCACTTAGATTTTCCCTCAAAAGTCACAAGAATGTGCCCTTAAGTTAACTGATTTGTGGAATACAAAATTATTGTTTGATTTAAGTTATAAATTTATCAATGGGAGCTTCGCTTTTAGCTGTGGCTAAATATATATATTATATATATACACATGTTGCATAAAAAAAACGGTCCTTGTAAAAAAGCGTCATTTTTATGTAAAAAAGCTGGGTTTTTTTACAAATTAAACGGTTGTAAAAATACTGCTTTTTTACAAAAATATATTTTTGTAAAAATAGCAGCTTTTTTACAAATTAACCGGTTGTAAAAATACTGCTTTTTTACGTTTTTTTTTTTACGCTTCTCAAACCGTACATTTTAAGATATCCGGCTAGTCACGTTCACGTTCCCGTGTCCCCCTTATTGTGGAGCTTTTAAATTCCCTTGTTAACTCGCTGACAGCGTTAAAAATTTACGTTCTTTTTATTCTTTTTATTATTTCTTCTTGTTTCCTTTGTCATTCAATTTTCTAGGACCTTCTAATTGTTGGATGCGAAGAAGGAACAGGCAGTAATTTCATTTGTTATGCTTATCGGCCGAGGTCACGCAAGGCAGTAACTGCATGTTAGGCAATAATAGAATAGCTGGGTTATTCACCCGGGGGGTACTCCCATACATTACCTATACGGGTATGTGCCGCCCAAAGGGGTCGTGATTTTGAAGCCCCTGATTTAGAACGGGGTATCCATTTCAGAGGCGTTTTGTAGAACGGGGTATAATATTTCGAACGCACGAAAGCTCCACTTTTGTGTAAGCAGCCATTTGAAATTATTCATGGACAGATTGCTTTTAAAAGATACGGTTCAACGCATTAACAAGCAAACCGTTGTACTCTTGTTGCACCCTAGAACGGAGTATAAAAAATTGGCCCATTTCTAGAACGGGGTATCAGTTTTAGGGCGAATTCTAGAACGGGGTATAAAAAATTCGCCCGTTTCTAGAACGGGACATCAATTTTAAGGGAAATTTTTTCTAGAACGGGGCCCGGCCAATTTGGAGTCCCGGGCGGCACATACCCACCCAAAAAATACCCAAGTCCCCCACCCCCCGGGGTTATTCACTGTCTTATTTATAGGCTTTTGTACATTATGCTTTTGCTTCCCCACTAAAATGCTCCACCTTAATGCTCCATTTTTCCCACTTAAATGCTCGGTCTCCCCAAAAAAGTCACTAAAATGCTCGGATAGTGCTCATTATACAAACGGTTTTTTAAATTAATTTCAAAGTTTACACTTACAAAAACGTGCAAGTGTTGCAAGTAACAACGACGTGTACAAGTTCATAAATACGGCCAAAAAAACAGCTGTATTGGGTTTTTTGTGAATTTTGAGGTTTAGTCTTCACTTTCTTTAAAAACGCAGGAGCTCGTGGGGCATGGGCTCCTGAAAAAAGTTAATTTCTATTTTATTTTCTCGGAATAATTAATTTTCCGGGGAAAATGCCACTAAAATGCTCGAATAATGCTCAATGCTTTTGCCTCACTAAAATGCTCGAAAAAAATGCTAGAATAATGTACAAAAGCCTACTTATTTATAAGCAATGCCTGTCACAATCCCTTGCAGCAACCAAAGCCTTCTATTCTCTCCTTCATTGCTACTTTTGTTCAAGCCGAAAACTGTACAGAATATTGTTCTGTATTATTTATCTGTTTTCCCAAGGTTATCAGCTGCAATAATCGGTTTAACTGTCAACAAAATACTTAGCTATAGTGCTTTGATGCTCTTAGCAGTGGACAAATAAATTATAACTCCATTTCTAGCATAAAATCTTCAGCAAGAATCAACGACAGCAATTGTAAGGCAATTTCCTGTATTATGTATGTTGCGCTAAACTTCTATCACGGGATTCATGGGATGTTGAAATCCATGTTGATGTATGCAAGAGTGTCATGTCTGCGTTACAACTTTAAGCTTTCAACATGATGTAGGAACATGTTCAGTCGGCTAATCAAGCAAAAGGAAACGCTAGCCTATAGCTACAAGCGTACATACACTCGCTTGTTAGTCGAATTTTTGCAATACACAGAGCAGCTTGTAAGGCCATAAAAACAGCAGCCAATTTGTTTGTAAGAATTAGCTACTGTAAAGGCGGTCTATATCGTACGCCAATGAGTGTTTTATTTTAGAGATCGAGAAAAAATCCAGAAAACACTTGTAAAGGCTGAACAACTTTAATATGAACACAAGCTGAATTCGCCAGCAATATTTAGTGTATGACCGTTTTTTTACAAAATATATTTTTGTAAAAAAGCTGTCCTTTTACAAATATATATCAGTGTAAAAAAGCAGCTTTCTTGCGGTACCGTTTTTTTACACAGCACACATATATATGTTGTGTTAAAAAACGGTACCGTAAGAAAGCAGTTTTTTTTACGCTGAAAAATCGGCTGCTGTTTTTATGGCCTTACAAGTTGCTCTGTGTATTGCAAAAATTCGACTAACAAGCGAGTGTATGTACGCTTGTAGCTATAGGCTAGCGTTTCCTTTTGCTTGATTAGCCGACTGAACATGTTTCTACATCATGTTGAAAGCTTAAAGTTGTAACGCAGACATGACCAGGGGCACCCAACGAGAGCATTGTTAAACGTATTTTAGTATTTAAACGGTAGATATAGGCATATTTTTATCCCCTAAAAATTTTTCAGCTGTTCGGATTTCCTAGCTGAAAGTCTAGTGATCCGAAACAGTGATCAAAACTTACTTTTTCGAAAATTTCAGCCAGATAAAAGGCTCCCGAAAATTCTAGGTGATCTTTCTAGGGTAAAAATCCGTTAAAAATAGGCAATTATACCATTTTTTACATGTTCGAAAATCTTAGGAGAGGCAGGCAAGCAAGAAATTTTACAACAAATGTTTCGAAAATTCTAGATCTCAAATCGTCTTCCGAACAGATATTCTTCCGAAAATTGCCGTTGGGTGCCCCTGACATGACTTTCTTGCATGCATCAACATGGATTTCAACATAGCATGAATCCGGTGATAGAAGTCTAGTGCAACATACATAATACAGGAAATTGCCTTACAATTGCTGTCGTTGATTCTTGCTGAAGATTTTATGCTAGAAATGGAGTTATAATTTATTTGTCCACTGCTAAGAGCTTCAAAGCATTATAGCCAAGTATTTTGTTGACAGTTAAACCGATTATTGCAGCTGATAACCTTGGGAAAATAGATAAATAATACAGAACAATATTCTGTACAGTTTTCGGCTTGAACAAAAGTAGCAATGAAGGAGAGAATAGAAGGCTTTGGTTGCTGCAAGAGATTGTGACAGGCATTGCTTATGAATAAGACGGTGAATAACCCAGCTATTCTATTATTGCCTAACATGCAGTTACTGCCGTGCGTGACCTCGGCCGATAAGCATAACAAATGAAATTACTGCCTGTTCCTTCTTCGCATCCAACAATTAGAAGGTCCTGGAAAATTGAATGACAAAGAAAACAAGAAGAAATAATAAAAAGAATAAAAAGAACGTAAATTTTTAACGCTGTCAGCGAGTTAACAACGGAATTTAAAAGCCCCACAATAAAGGGGACACATATCTTAAAATGTACGGTTTGAGAAGCACACGAAAACTACAGTTCAATAAAGTTCGAACTATATCACCCAGCGTGAATGCGTGTTCGGACACGACAATCTTGCATGGGCACAATATGATAATACATAAAAAACTTAAATATCTCAAAGATGTGTAAGGCTAAAATTGCATACAGTTACTGCAAATCACAAACTTTTATAATGCAAGGGCATTTCCATACTTATTCAGCTTAAAAGAACAAACTGCACTACCAGGGACTAAGCTGCATACTACCTTGTGGCTGAACTTGGCTCTAATGCGAGATAAATGGAGTTGATTAGAAAAAGATTCATTATAAAGAAGACCGAGGTATTGTTTTCACCTGTGCAGTTAACTCCATCCCCAGAATACCCTGGCTTACAGGTGCACACAAAGGATCCTTTAGTGTTTTGGCAATTAGCTTTTGCATGACAGTTGTGCTTTCCTGCTTCACATTCATTTATATCTGCAAAAAAGAAGTCAGGCACTGAATGATCAAAACTAATTTCCTTTTTTTTTTTTCACAGCAATTATAGAGTACTAAAGTGTGACGTCATAAAAATGAAATTTCTGAAATTATGGGATTTGTCAGGATATTCTGAAAGAACAATGTCTAAGAGGCCAACTTGCCAAAATTGAGCATTTGGGGACAAATTGTCTCTGAGAACGTAGCCCAGTTATGCTTACAAAACTCCATACAAACCCTTCTAAATTTTTTTGGGGTCGACCCAAAAAAAAATTAGAAGGGTTTGTATGGAGTTTTCTGAGTATAACTGGGCTACGATCTCAGAGACAATTTGCCCCGAAATGCTCATTTTTGGCAAGTAGGCCTCTTGGACATTGATCTTTCAGAATATCCTGACAAATCCCATAATTTCAGAAATTTCATTTTTATGACGTCATCACTTTAGTACTCTATTGTGGCCTACCATAATAGCCATTTCATGCGATCAATTTTCATTTCAAAACGAGGACAATCCTCAAACCTTTCTCCTTGAAATTAAGTTTCATATCAAAAAGCTTCGCACTTCGCCTCATTTTAAGACAGAAGCTCGAGTCAACTCGAAAATGGCCTATTAGAATTACAATATACCTGACTTAATGCTCTGCGATTAGTACTAGTAAAAGGTATTATGGAAAATAACGATACTTAAATTAAGGCGAATTTAGCGAAAAAGCACTTTCGAACTGAGGAAATTGATGTGAAAGAGACGTGGCTACGAAATATCTGAGTGTTTCAATTAAGGGATCTTGAAGTGCTACCTGTACATTTATCTTCTCCATTTTCATAATAACTTTTCTTGCAAGCACATCCGAAGGATCCTATAGTGTTATGTCACACTGAACTAGTGACGTCACAGTTGTGTTTTCCTGTGTTACACTCGTTTATGTCCGGAAATCAAGATTTAATGCTGAATAATCAAACTGAATCAGTTCTATTTCAGTTCTATATCTATTGAATCAGAGTTAGCAATGCAATGCTTTCGAGACTGGAAAACTGTCGACTTTCAGCTCGTTGTTCCAAGTAATCCTTACCCCCTACAGTAAAACGTCTCAAGAATTCCTCGCATACCACTTCAAACTGTTTTCCTCGCCTCACACAACCCTCCCAACTTAATTAGTCGGCCCAGCCTCCATCCTCCTTGATACATTCAACATCAGTGTATTAAGCTGTATTAATAATAGACAGTATGACATGTCTCGCTTTTGCACAAACCGCTTCAAAAAGTCGTTCATATCAGTTATGTGCGGTCGTGTCGGTTAATGTGTCATTTCGTTATTTTTCTTTTTCTCTGTAATTTTTGTTTTGTCATTATTCCTAGTCAAAAAAACTGTAATTAGTCTTTTACCGTTATTTTTTACCTTTTATAGTATTGTGAATAACTCAGAAATTCAGCCTGCCGGCTGCAATTTGATTACTTTGTTAAACCTATCCATTCATCTATCCATCCATCCATCCCGCCAGCCGGCCAGCCAGCCATCTCTATTGAGAGAAGTGACGCCTTCAGTGGATTGATAAGATGTTACTTCGATGGAGCTGGATTGAGTTACCCCAGGACTGAGGATATCATCCTCTTCGTTCTACAAAATTCCTTACATTCTACTCAGCCTCATTCGGTGATTGTTAATTATGACAAGGATCACTTTGTCGATGAGGCTAGACTTCAAACTCTTATTTGTACATTTGGAGATTTGGATTCTACAAACTCAAACGCGTGAACTCGAAACAAATGATTTTGAAATAGCCTTAACATTAAGACGGTTCAAGTCTCTACTAAAATATAATCACCTGTGCAGTAAACTCCGTTCCCAGAATACCCTGCCTTGCAAGTGCACTCGAAAGATCCTTCAGTGTTATTGCAGTCTGCATTAGCGTCACATTTGTGCTCTCCTGTTGTACACTCGTTTACGTCTGCAAAACAGGTGCAGGACTGAATCATCAAAACTGATTTACTTAACCTTTTATTTTCTAGGACTGGGTACGGTCAGAAGAGAGAGCTTTCCTGGAGGTTGTACTGAGAAGAAAAAAGATAAGTATACTGAAGCGGTGATAAATGAAGAAATAACATTATATGTATAGATAGAGGATTAGCGAAACCTAAGGAAGCAAGATACAGGAGAATGCAGAACGACTTCCCAGCTGAGGAAAAAACTGCCATCAGAAGGTGGAATAAAAAAGACACGTTTCTGTTCATACTCTGTAGGTGGAGCGGAACAAAACTGACGGAATTGTGTACACTGGTCTGATTTTTAAAAGCAACTGTCTCAGCCAGCGTGAATGCGTGAGCGGACATCGCAATCGTGCATGAAGACAATTACAATTATAATAAACATCAAAAATGTAAAGATCTCAAGCATGTATAACTGAGGCTAAAATTGCATACAGATACTGCAAATCACAAACTATAGCAGTATGCAAGAGCATTTCGATACTTATTATTCTCCTTAAAAGAACAAACTGTAATTCTAGGAACGAAGCAGCATACTACCCTGTGGCATATTATAAAGAAGACCAAGGTACTGTTTTCACCTGTGCAGCTAACTCCATTCAAAGAGTACCCTGGCTTGCAGGTGCACACAAAGGATCCTTTAGTGTTTTTACAAGTAGTGTTTGTACCACAGTTGTGCTTTCCTGTTTCACATTCATTTATATCTGCAATTAAGAAGTCAGGCACTGAATAAATGGATTTTTGAATTTTTCTTTCGCTGTAAGTAACTGTGGCCTACCATAATAGCCATTTCAGGCTTTTAATATTTCAATATTTATTTATATTTTCCGAGTTCCAAAAACCCTAATTTTCAAAACGAGGTCTTCCTTACACCTTTCTCTTTTGAAATTAGTTTCCTTATTAAAAGGCTTCGCATTTCGCCTCGTCTTAAGACAGAAGTTCGAGTCAACTTGAAAATGGCCTATTAGAATTAAAATAATGTACCTGACTTATTATTTAACAATTAATAAATGAGCGACTCATAGAATACTTCTTAATACCTCTAGCTCCTCCCACAATAGGCAGCTCCGGCATTCGGCTCCGCCTATTGTGGGAGGCTCTAGAGGTATTAAGAAGTATACTATGCTTTCGGCTTAAGTTATTTTGTTTTATTATTCATTCAAAATAATTCCTAGTTCAAAAAGATAGCTAAAACAAGCTTACCTGCATCGATGTTAAGTTTATCTTCGATAGTTTACGTTTAGGTTTGTCCAGCTCCGCAAATATTCTCCAAATAGCAGATGTCGCCCTTGCCTTGCCTTTTTTGCTATGTGTTTAGCCATTATTTCGCCTAGTTCCTGCTGTTAACTTCTTACTCTTGAAACGAGTGAAGTGGCCGCCATTTTAGGTTTTACAACGAAAACAACTCAATAACGTCCCCAGGTCTTCTCGGTTAACGGTGCATTAACCTGTAGAAGGCTGCATTTTTGACGTCATTTCCTCGTTAAACACAAAATTCTTCCAATTTGGTCATCAGTAACTGGTTATGGTGAATTATGCATGTGCTTTTAGCCAATCAAAATTGGGGAAATATTTCGAATGAAAAATAAGGGAACTTAATGCCCTGCTATCAGTACTAGTAAAAGGTATTATGGAAATTAACGAGACTTAAATTAAGGCGAATTTAGTGAAAAACCACCTTGGAGCTGAGGAAATTGATTTGAAAGAGACGTGGCTACGAAATATATGAGTCTTTCAATTAAGGGATCCTGAAGTGTTACCTGTACATTTATTTTCTCCATTTTCAGAATAACCTTCCCTGCAAGGGCAGTCGAAGGATCCTTTAGTGTTATAGCACCATCTAGTGACGTCACAGTTGTGTTTTCCTGTTTTGCACTCGTCTATGTCTGGAAATCAAGATTAAATGCTGAATTATCAAACTGAATCAGTTCGATTCTTATGCCTTTTCAGAATGAGGGATATAGCAATGCAATGCTTTAGAGCCCAGCCCTGGCAGTTCTCTTATTTTATGTATTTGTACGGTTAGCGCCGTTTTGCACCTGTTCCTTAACTTATGTATTTAGTCTCAATGTAGGCTTAGGTCAGCTGTCCCTAACCTGAGATCAGGCCCAATTTTAGCGGTTCTCATACATTCACCCTAACGGCTACCGCTAAAATTGGGCCTAATACAAACTCCCTAACCGGCATTAAGCCTGTGTTCATAATTGAGGATGCAGTTCGAGCTCGACCAGCTAGTTATAGCACTTTTTTTTTTTTTTTTTGAAAAAAATTAGTTTTTTTTGTTATTTTTTTGTTAACATACGACCATTTCAGGGTTGGTTCTCAAAAAACTTTTTTTCTTTTTTAGAGGGTCTCAAATATTCACCCGAACGGTTACGGTTAAAATTGGGCTTTATACCTGCTCCCTAACCGGCATTAAGCCTGTGTTCATATTTCGGGATTCTTTTCCACCCCCCCCAGCTAGTTATAGCACTTTTTTTTGTTTTTTTGTGAAAACAATTAGTTATTTGTGTTATTGCTGTGTTAACATACGAGCATTTCAGGGTTGGCTCTCAAAAAACTTTTTTGCTTTTTAATTATGGTTGTTGCTATTGTGTAGTTGAGTCAAGATGGAAAGCTTTCTGTGGGCAAATTGGAGGCCACAAATTTACACGTACCAACGCCAGAATTTTTTTTCTTAGATACAACCTGTGGCATACCACTGACTGAATATGAAAATAGGTTTCTACCTTTCCTTTCTTCTACCTATTCTGTTTGGCATGGAATAGCATATGTGACTTATGATAAAATCCTGTTCGTTTAGGCTCCATATTATGCTACCTTCACAGTTGACACCATCCCCAAAATATCCTGATTTGCAAGTACACTTAAAGGAACGCTTGGTGTTGGTGCATTCTGCATCATCGTGGCAGTTATGTTGTCCTGTTTCACACTCGTCTACAAATCAGGAAGTTGAGGTTAGTTCCCTTGACTTAAACGTTTTCACCTATAAAGTCAGTTTTCACTCTTTCAGTTGTTAAACAGTTGTTTAATTGATTAAATGTATTTATTTTTCTTTTTTTAGCTCAAACAACTGCTGATATCATGATCTCTTGGTTAAAATTCATTTAGAAAACGTTTAAACGTTGGTCTCAATACTCCGATCGAGAAATATTGCATCTCTTTAGGGCTTGTTATCATATCGTGTTGCTAAGCTACGCATGCAAGTTCTAGTATTTCGCGCGCTTTTGGACTGCCATCGTCAGCGCTGGAAAATTGTTCTTGCCACGAGCGGTATTGCTTCTTTTTCGTTTGCGCTAACGTTTATTCTGAGCTCCGCTGCTACTAGTCGGCAAGTTTTACTTTCATAGCTAAGTTATTTTCATTCATTTTTTTTACTATTCAGCCGCGAGAAGGGGTGAGGAGATACTAGAAAGGATTTGAACTATTTTCAAGCTCAGTTGTCTCGCAAGCGCACGCATAACAAGCAGGAAAAAAAAAGCGAACACTGTTCACGAGAACAGTTTTACAAATCCTTTTCGCATTTTCCAATAAAAAGGTAATAAAGGAAATCCATAAAATCCTGGAGGGGTTAATAACTTGGGAGAAAGGCTTCGTATTTGCATACAGTTTCGTTTTCGATTTCTTCCGAACCACGACCGTTTAAGCGCCCAATAATATAACGCTCCATACAATAACGGTCCTTTGAAGTCTCATGTTTGCTACGAAGTTTTTACCCACTTCTCACAAAATGGTTCATGAACTAGAAATCATTTTTCAAAAATGTTACCATCAAATTCCAAGTCTATATATTTAATACCATAAAGATTTTCGAATAGGGAAATTGGCAGTGGATTTTTGCCCAAAATATTTGTCCATGACTCTGACAGGATTAGTCAGGATTTCCATAATAAGGTAGCAGTGTGCCACGTTTTTAAACGAGCTTAGTCGGGAGAGCTCCGATCTGCTGAGCTGGAGGTCGCGGATTCATACCCCGGCCGGACCAACACTAAGGCTGCTCCGTAAATAACTGAGAAAAAATCAGAAGAAAGTGCTGCCTTTGTAATGACATCTGCTAGAGGTAAGACTTTCTAATCTTCTCGGATAAGGAAGGATAAGGTGCCGTAGGTCCCACAGGACGTATCTGGTTCTTGTGAGACGTACAAGAACCCACACCACTGTTCGGAAAGGGTAGGGGACTTTGTCCCTGTGGTGTGGCCAGCCTTTCCTGAGCTAATGGGATATAACCCCATGATCCTCCTTCAAAAGTCGAAATGGCTACCTTGCAGTGTATGTAAGTCTAACCTCCTGGATTCGCTGCTTACCAACTAATTGCCTTAAACAAAGAGGGTAAGTGGCTTTAAAAATGCAAAATCTACATATTGTTCCAAAGAGAACACTCCCAACTGTCCTAAAGCGGTATACTATACAAAATGGTTTGTAACCTACGCGGAAAGACTTTCTCATCTAAGGTTTTTATTATTGTTGTTGTTATTATTATCATTCTTTTTTTAAATTCATTTTAACTTACCTAAGCAGGTGATTTCAATTTCTCTGGCGATCTCTTCCATTAACTCTCTGCTCCTTTCCCGCTGTTTAATATACTCCTCTTCTTCTTTAGTCATCGGAACAGGACAAACTGCAAAGCAGCAACACATATGAACAGTAAATTTCAATCCATAAGCTAACGGCATTTTATCAACTTTGCAAAACAATAATAAATATAACAATCACTGTAATTGTAATTGCGGGCGACAAGAGGAGCCCGCAATCCTAATCTTCAGGTTGCTATTGCGCATGCGTTGCATGTATGTAGCCAGCATTAGTTTGGACTTCCACTAAGAATGAATGGAATGCACAGAACGTAATTTGATCACGCCCGTTTAGACCTTGTATTACTCGTAACTTAATTACGCGTGTTTTGATTATCTGTCACGTGAAACTTACGCAAAGAACAGCGATGGAGCAAAAGCGTTTTGACCGCTTCGATCGTTGTCGCCCGCACTCCGTGACCTTTGGTTATTACTAGTGAATTATTATTAACAGAACATGACGATGAAATAATATTATTATTCATTCAAAATATTTCCCCGATTCTGATTGGCTAAAAGCATACGAAAAATTCACCATAACCAGCTACTGATGACCAAATTTGGAAGAAGTTTGCGATTAATCAACCGATGACGTCAAAAATGCAGCTTTCTTGCAGGTTAATGCACCGTTAACTGAGAAGACCTGAGGACGAGGTTGAGTTGTTTTGGTTGTGAAAACAAAAATGGCGGACATTTCACTCGTTTCAAGAGTAAGAACTAGGCTAAATAATAGTTAAAAACATGGCAAGCACAGCAAAAATACAACTCGAAGAGCGTTATCTGCTATTTGGAGAATATTTGCGGAGCTGAACAACCCTAAACGTGCACTATGAGTCTATCGAAGATGAACTTAAGATGGATGGAGGTGAGCATGTTTTAGCTATGTTTTTAAAAAAGGAAATATTTTGAATGAATGATAAAACAATTATCGAATTCGGCTTTCGTATCATATGAAGAATTATGGAGATCTCGGAGGGTGTTATCCGTCGAGGCCGTACCCTCCTACCCTCCTCGATCGCCATAATTCTTCATAAAATACTCCGCCTCATTCATTAAGTGTTAAATAATAATAGTAATAATAATAATGACAACAACAACAACTAGGGGGTCCATATTGGAAGTGAAGTGCTACCCCATGTAGAACTGGATCAAGGGGTTGGAACGGTAGTAAATAATCTATTAGCTTTTATTAGTATCTCAGTTTAGGATATCAAGGAGCGCTGCGTAACCAGACAAAAGGGAGACTATGATATATAAAATACAGTACGAGCTGTACGTAAGAAGGCGCGTATTGTAGTTGAATATTTAATTTGCTTACCCTAATTGCAATTACCTGTCATTTAGTGCACCTACATTTCCGTTTTGCGGTATTTTTCATTACCTAAAGCACTTCTCAAGGGACCGTTGACGGTTTTAAAAGTGTCCGTGCTCCGTCTTAAGAGAGGTTTCCGTCTTGTAGAGAGCATAGTTACAGTCAAATGACTGGACAATGACAGGGGCCAACACCAGAGAGTTGTCCGTCTTAAAGAGGTGTTTGACTGTATAGCAAGATATCCTCAAATGTAAATTTATTTCAAATCCATTAGAGAAGAAAACAAAAGTGCAAGGGAATTCATGAATGGACACCTAACGAAAGAAAGCTTGCGAAATATTGGTCGCACATTTTTTAATGTGTAAAATTTCAAAAAAACTCAAGTAAATGAAGTTGTTAACATATTCACCGTTTTCACACCGCCCATAAAACATCTTGTTTACCCCCCCCCCCCCCCCAAAAAAAAATTTTGCATCAGTAAATTGTTTTCAATTTCTCTTATGATGACAGCTTATTCCAAGGAAAAATTACAAACCAGGATGCTGAAATAAAATGGCGACAATCCGCAGGTGCGCAATTAAATTTGTTAGAGACGTCGTAGTTGTTAGTCGTTACCTCCATGATTTACACCTTCCTGTGTTATCATCACGACTGGGAACATGATAACGAAAATAATGATTGTTTTCATGCCTGCCATCTTCCAATCTGTTGAAAACAAAGTAATCATGGTTCATAGCATGTCAATGAATTTATATCGAGGGTGTTAAAGAATTATGCACCCAAAGTTTAATAACCACGCGTAAGCGGGCGGGGGAGGGGAGGGGAGGGGAAAATAGGTTTTGATAGATTGTGCTCGCAGAAGTAGCATGATAATTCTGCTAGTTTTTGTAAATTAAGCTCGTTTCAGCACAAAAAAAAAGGCCGAAATTATGCCTCTCACTTTTAACTTTAAATTTGGTTAAAAAAAAAAAACACCTCAATGCTTCATTTACAGGTAAATGGCAAACTCATTTACCCTGTTTACATCAAGAAACGTTAAGAGTCCTTTCTCACTTTTAACTTTAAATTTGGTTAAAAAAAAAAAAAACACCTCAATGCTTCATTTACAGGTAAATGGCAAACTCATTTACCCTGTTTACATCAAGAAACGTTAAGAGTCCTTAATTCATTGTCTGACAAGTATAAAAACTCAAACAATAAACAACCAACACGCGGACGCCACCCCAGGTAACCACAGACAGATAAATGAATTCGTTTCTTAGATTTGCCTGTAACACAGATCTCGGACCAAAAACATTGGTTGCATGTTCAATAAATGACAATTATATTTTTGTACTGCAAATTTATACCAAAAAGTGCAAATTATGCTAGCAGTGTTTTTTTTTTTTTTTCGAAAAATGGATGAAAATTATGCTGGTAGTGACTAATTGTGCCAAAAATTATGCTAGTCCAATCTTTCAAAGCGTACTGCAAAATGCCGGTGATGCCACGATCAGCATAATTCCTTTAATCCCTTACCCAGTTTCCCATATATGCATTACCCTGGTCAGGGTAAAAACAGGGTATAAAATCTCTCTCCTATTTGCAGACAATAACGTTAATTATCTATGCAGTAATCTACATAATTGTATGATCCTATCAGAAACTTTAATAGAGGAGTTCCCCCGGAGACGGAGACAGATTATTATAAAGAAGTGCCCCAGGGAATTATTTAGTCCGTTCGCGGATCACCCTGGTGTTTATTTGATCAAACAAAATCAATTTTAAAAAGCCTGTTCAAGCTTTCTGGAAGATCGCGGAGACCGAGAGTTAGAATAAAAAAAAAATAGAAAAATAGAAGCCAATTAAGCTGCAGTCTTAAAAACACGTCTTTACACTATATCTTTCAAGAAGTTTTTCGTTTATTTTTGCATTTTTGTAAGTCGTGAAAATCACATAAAATTTTGAATATATTTCCCGAGAAAACATGGATAAAATGAAATTTGAACTTGTTCTATGAAACGATTGTTTTACTGATAAACTAATATGACTTCTTTTCCTTCAAAACGAGGCATTTTTTTTTTCAGAGAAAGATCCGAGCAGCATTTTGCTCAGTTGTTTAAGTTTGTTCAGAAATATTTCAATCAATAACAAAAATAGAATTTCTTATTACATAAAATATATCGTCGTTTTGGGGAAAAAAGGATTATAATATAGATAAATAAACAATTAGAGTAAATAAATAAAGAATGCTGAACCGGTCGAAACTGACCAGAGAATAGAGGCCATCAAGGTTAACATAAATACTAGTTATAAATTATCTACATCATGGGTCCGAGTATGTGTTCATAAAAAAACAAGTCTCTCGTTAGGCGAAGGAAAAGTCTGCTAAGCTTGCATCTTGTCGCCATGATAAGTCGATGTTCTTCTGTGTCCAGATGTCGCTGATGGAGAAAATTTTTGCATTTTTCCGCCGGTCAAGAATTGTAAAAAAACATTCACTTTCCAATGAACACAATCCAATCACTCTAGCTGAAATCAATATCAAAACCGTGCAACACGGTAAAGCAGAAATAGGAATGGACAAGGTCATTGATACATCGAAGTGCTTCTATGAACCAGCGTGGCGTGAGCGATGAACATGCTAATCGCTGTAAAAGGAAGTCAAGTTCGTGTATGCGACGACTGTCAAAATAAAAAACAGAAGCTGTTCATGCATTGACGTGAAACATAAAGTAAAAGACTTTTACTGAATTAATAAAAAATACAAAATGAAGAAATACTGAAATGAAAAACAAAGTTAAATGTTTCTTTTCAGACGACATCTGCTATTTGTAGATTGAATATCTTCAGAACTTGACGAGAAATATGCAGTTGAAGACGGGAACTTAACATCGATTAAGGTAACTGTAAGCATGTTTTAGCTATCTTTTTAAACTAGAAATTATTTTGAATAAATAATAAAACACTGATTGGATACGGATAGATCTTTCAACCGTTGAAACTAAGGAAGGGAGGAAGGATGGAAGGAGAGAGTGATTCGTGGATGAGAGGACAACAGACGCGCCCTCTTTACAATATATTATAACATGTATATAACACATGAATATTTTACATGCACTGAAAGTGATCTGTGATGCCCAAATAAAGAGGAATATTGCACTCACGCTGATCATGATCATAGTAAGAACATCACTGAAATAACTAAGAAATAATGTAGGAAAAATCACCTCTCACCTCCATATCATTCTTGTTATTTAAAAGCTTTATTTTCTTACTTCAAAATTTTCAGCTCTCACTGATCAGTTGCACGTCTCCTAACTTTTGGTGGCTAAAAGAGTTCTGACTGCTGCTCGCTTCTTCAATTGTCTGAGTTGTTTGCCTGTGAAGATCCAGAGAATACGCCCAGCAATTAAAACTCTAACAAGATTTAACGCAGGATATGTTTCGATATATTTTCAGGAGGACCCTTCTCCCCCCAAAAAATCAAATTCAAACGCAAAAAAAGACAGTTTTTTGTCACCTGAGGTGCTGGCTTATCGGGTTGACAAATAAAAATGTTTTACCAAAAACAGCAGGCATAGTCTCATTTTTATTACTGACGTTAGCTGGCCACTTCCAAACGCCATCGATCGTTTTGTAATTAATGCTTCATTTTTCCGGTCTTCTTCTAGTGGGCATAAATTGACAAATTCAGCCATCTGGTCGCAAAGAGACAAATGCATTTTTTTTTTACAAATATAGTTTATTAACCAGATGATTGATGTGTCATGGTCATTTTAAGGAAGAAGTGATACAGAGATTAATTTACTTTTCTTTCTTTCGTAATTTTTAATTCCTTCTGTGGTAACGAGAAGTTTCTGTGAAATGTTATTACTTAAAGTAGTTGTAGGAAACTTAGATTAAGCAAGGAATCCTAACTAAAGCAAGTTCCCCTTTTGGAGCTGCCCAGGGGGGGGCCCACGACTTAGCGAAATTTCGTGTACCTATGATCCACCGATTTATGACATCACATCCGGTTGCAGTGTTGCTGCTCTGTTTTCGCGCGAAGCACAAAGATGGACGCCCGATGCTATTTGTTTTCCTCGTTATTTCTACCCGCAGGCTAACGGAATTATGCATCTTGAATGCCGAGAATATTAAGAAGGTATATAGCCGGCCTTTCAAGCAAATGTTATGACCAAACAAAGAAGTTTTAGTATTATTTTAAAGATAAATATCATGCAGCTGCGAGGAATGTCATGGCGAGTCTTGCGATGACTTGTTTCAAAACGAGTGTCGTTAAAGTTTTGCGGCTTTTGCGGCCTCTGATTTAGAGAAGTCATCAATCAAAATATAATTTCCTAAGCGGAATAGAATGGGGAAAACGCCGATGGCCACAGTTTAAAGTGTTCACCGCTGGAAGGCTGGATCACGCCACGTAAAGTTGCAGAAACTTGCACTCAACTGCATGGTTTTGAGGAATGTCATGGTGAGTCTTTCGCTGTTTGTAATCGAGCGTCACTCAAGAGTTTGGCTTTCGCGGCTTCTGATTCATCAAAGTCATCAATCAAAATTGCCTATCCTGAGCGAAATTCCGTGGAGAAAAAGCTTATAGTCACAGTTTAAAGTGTTAACAGCTGGAAGGCTTTATAACTCGACGTAAAGTTGCTGCAAGGGCTCAGTCTTCTGCTGTTCGAAGACCCTCTGGCATGATGTCGCATAGATAAGGTTAGTAGGTTTGCTGATTTTTCTTTTAGTGCACGTGAGAGAATTACAAGGAGCGTAGAGTAGCGAAATATTAGAGTTATTCAATGTTAGAGCGTAAGCTTTTAATAGTTAAGAGAATTAGATAATTTTTTAATTGATTGATGAAAGGGGAATTCTTAAAGAACAGGTGGTTACTATTAGAAAAGGGCAGTAAAACATCCGAAAGAACGACCCTTTTTCTCACAGCACTTTCTACTGGATCTCTAAAACTGTATTTTATTGTGTAAGAAACACATAAAATAGAAAAAATGTGACAGAGAATTGACTGTTTGCTTTGGGAGGTGGTGCCCCAGGAGAGGTGGAGATATTAAGAGGGCCTACACCGAGAAGAACAATATTATAACAACAACAATAATCTTGTTGATCAATAATATTATTATTACTAGTAGCCTTTTTTGAGTATGATAGTATACCAGAAAGATACCACATGCCTGCAATTGCTGTGATCATAATTTATTGTTTTAGAGAGAGGCATGCAAGGTTTTTGCTTAGGGGATTTCATAACCTGAGATCAGGCTCTATTTTCGTTTCGCTTTGAAAATTACATTCTTGCGGGCAAGGCGAAACGAAAAGAGAGCCTGGGTGCTTACCATTTGACAGAAAATTTCGAAAGTTCCGGATGGAAGGTAAATGGTAAGGTCACTTTTCGGAAATTCCAACCGAAAATTGAGGAGTACGTTTTGAGGTAGTCCTTTCATTCCGGTTGGTACAAACCAAACGGAATGTTGCTTACCATTAACCAATTTCTCGGTTCCCTCTCGGTTCCAGACTCACGCTACACAAATTCGCCCCTTTTTTGGATTCAAACCGTAACGAATGTGGCATTTCTACGGTAAACTGGTAAATCGCTTACCATTATGCTTTCGACACCTCAACCGGATTTTTCTGTCAAATGGTAAGCACCCCCTGATACAAACCTTTAACGAAATGTCTGTCGCCCACTTTTTTGATTGATTGACATTTGCCGAA